CGCAGCCAGGGAGGCCACTGTCATGGATTCCTGGGTCGCTTCAGTGTCAGACCCTCCCTTCAGGCCCAGTCAGGCCCTGGAGCGGCTGTGTAGAGCTGCTCAGTATGCTTGCTCTCTTCTTGGCCATGCCCTGCAGAGACATGGGGCCAGCCCTGAGTTACAAAGCAGATTTGACAACTGGGGGTGGGGGATCATCTGAGCCTTGGAAGAAAGCTTCTATGCCCGGATAACTTAGCAGATGCCCTTGAGTCAGCCAAAAAAGCTGTGCACCTCTCAGATGTTGTCTTCAGACTCTGCATCACTGAAAGCCACCTCCATTGAGCCTTGTACTTCTCCTGCGACAATGTCTTGTGTGCTGGAAAGTCTGGACTGGCTCCTCGTGTGGATCAGCAGAAGTGGGCCCAGCACTCATTCAGATACTCTCTGTTCTCCCTCATCATGAATTTGAGCCGTGATGCTTGTGAGATTCGCCTACTGATGGAACAAAGAGTCTTTAGCTTGTAGCCGGTGACTAAAGGGTTCCAGAAGAGGAGTCCCAGGAGGAATTGAAATTGGGGACCTTGGGGGACCAGGGACACCAGGAGGAGGTCTGCCCGAAATGGCTATGAAGCTTTGGCTCTGAGTCCTGCTCCTGGCTCGAGTCCTTCGAGGTCATCCTCCACTTCTGCTGGATGTGGTCAGAAATGCCTGTGATCTCTTCGTTCCACCAGACAAACTAGGCCTCTGGCACTTGGGATTGTGGGGCTTTGTGGCCTCGTGGCCTCCATCCTGTCTATTCTCACCCTAATCTGCCCCTGGCTACGACTGAAGCCCTGACATTCTGGTACGGGGAAAGGAGGAGACCTGAATTGGGGAGATGGAATCTTGGATCGTCCCCCATGTGCCAGCTTCATTCTAATTCTACTCCTTGGTTAAAGCTAAAATTCAGAGATTCAGGGATGGAGGAAGGAGCTTCGGGAAAGATGAGGTGAGGATAGGTGACTCGTGAAGTCAGTAAGATGATTCTAATATTCAGATATGCTGAAGCTTTTCTTCTTTTACTCTTTCATTGTCTGTGGCTCTCTTGTCTTTTTACTTTGAGTCTCTTAAGTCCATTTAAGAGTCTGTGTCTATGCATCTCTCCTTTTTACCTTTTAAGTCCCCTAGCCAGGAATTTAATCAGCAGAATAACTTTTTGGTGGGGGAGGTATAAGGTTTTGTTTGTAACATTCTAACTGCCTTCTTTTTTCTCATAGAGGTGGCTTATGGTAGAATTTTCCTTGTTCAAACTCCAAATCATAATTTTTAGACTTTATGTCCCATTGGACTCTTTCCTCATATCTCTGTACCACAGGTTGTTTGATGCGTCCTCTTCTTCCCGCTTGTCCACCTCACCAACCTCCCCCTTGATTTGTCCTTACCTTTCCCTATACTCACACCTTCAGACTTCTGCTTATACTTTGACTTCAGAGCTTTGTTCTCTAGCCTGTTCTTACCCTTTCTTTGCCTACCCAGAATGATGTTGTTCTAGCATCTTGCTGTAAATACTGTACGATGGTTCTGTGTAAATAGCTGTGGCTCATGCGAACAATGGAGAGCAAGCCTTCCAGGTCAGCAAATTAAAGATCAGTTTGCTCATTGGCAAAAAAAAAAAAAAAAAAAAAGAAAGAAAGAAAGAAAGAAAGAAAGAAAGAAAGAAAGAAAGAAAGAAAGAAAGAAAGAAAAAGAAATCTAGGGGCATTGGAGGAAACTGGGTTGGAAATGTACACTAAAGCCAGATTGTTCTATGAGCAGTTAGTCAACACTTATTTATTGGGCATGCATCGTGATGAACTCTTATTCTAGATGTAGAGGGTGCGGTAGCAAACAAGACAAACAAAATCCTTGTTCTTATGTGCCTTACATTCTAGTAGGGGGAAAAAGATGAATTATGTAAAGGCAAAGTTTCAAATATGAAAAGTGCTAAGAACGATACAACAATAAAGAGGAATATGTGCTAGAGAGTGATTAGGGGAATACTGTTTTAGATTAAATGCCAGAGAAAGCTCATCTCATGAGGTGACTTTTTGCCAGAGACTTGAATGAAATAAGGAGCCAGCCACACAAAGATTAAGGAGACTACTCCAAGTAAAATAAATAGCAGGTTCAATGGTCTCTGGATGGGAACGAGCTTGTCCTGCCAGAATTGTGGAAAGAAGGCCAGAGTGGTTGGAAAACAGTGAATGCAGAGGAGTATAGTGAAAGATGAGGTCTGGCAGGGTCCCATGCTGTAGGAAAACCCTGGGAAGGATGTTGGGTTTTATTTTCAGTGTGGAGGGTTTTAAGCAGGCAGTGGCTTGATGTAGTTTACATTTTTGAAAGGGACAGAGAGCCACATCAGGAAGCTGTATTCTAGGAGAGAGATGGTGGTAGCTTGGATTGGGATGAAAGAATCATGGATTTGGGCTGTTTTGTATTTTGAGATAGAAAAAAAGGACTTGCTGATGAGTTGGGGAGAGGGAATGATTACAATAGAGAATGTCTCCTAGGTTTTTGGTTTGAGCAGGGTGGGTGACCTACTGAATGCCTGCAGAAACCCTCAGCATCTTCCAGATTTTGAGTCCTTTCACCCTTATTCTCTGTCTTTGGATTTATTTTTCTGGGGACAGTGTAAATTATAGAGAATATTTGTGAGTAAGACTTTTCTTACTTCTGAACACATATGTCATTTAAGCAGCAGCCAATATACGGGCCTTCCCAATGATCTTGAGGCCAAGGACAGCCTATGGCCTTTCTCATTTCCCTCTCTGCCAAGATCGTGGTCCTAGCTTAGACCACGTGGTCCTAGCTTCTCCCTCTATGAAAGCCTTTCTCAGTCCTTCCAGTTATAGCTATTTACTCCCTTCTTGTCATCATAACAGCAATTATCTTCAATTTATCGCATTGTGCCTGGCATAATGGTTGTTTGCTTTATGTATCTTTCTTACTATATTTTAATCCCTTTGAAGAAAGGGACTGTTATTATGAGTTATTACATTCTTCTCAAAGCGAATACAGTACGATGGCCTTCAGCATGCATCCTATCTCCTTCTATATTTTCTAGACTTCCTTGCAGCTAGAGTTGTGGGTGTAAGCTAATGCTTTTCTAATCAGGTGTGTTTGCATGATATTTGGAAGATAAGAGTGAGATGGCGACCATTATGCTGTGATTTGGGTTATTTCCTTTGACAAACAAGGATATAGAGACATGAGTGTTGACAGACAACTTTTGAAGTAATGCCAGAAACTTCTGGATCTCAGGTTTCTGAATCCTGGACTGTATCTCTGGTGATGTATTAAACTCAATAGTTCTAGGGGTTGCTTGTTAATTTCTAATAATTCAGCCCATATCGTCCTAGGCATTAAATCCTTTATTGTTTAAAATACCTAAAAAGATAACTGCTTTCATTCATTGAATGCTGATTAAATAAGAGATTCATTCAGTCTCTCTTATCTGTTACTGTGTTTTATATACAGTAGACAGCCAACAAATGTTCAGTTGAATTTATTCCCAAACCAGAACTATTTCCTCCATCTCTCCACTTATTCAAAAGCAACTAATAAGTATCACTACACGTCAGTGTCTGCATTAAGTGCTGAGCAATGCCAGGTTGAGTAAGATCAGTCTTATTCCCAGTTTGGTAGGGGACATAATTACAACAGAGTATGGGCCAAATGATATAACAGAAGTGAGTAGGAACTTAAAGAAAATAGTGCCTGGAATGCCCAGGAACTCTGCTCAGAAGAGATGATGTTTTGGTTGGGACCTGGAGTATGCTTAGGTTTTTGCCAGGTAGCAAATGGCAGGGAGGTATTCCATGCTGATTGGACAGCATATTCAAGGATATGAATTCATGATAGACCACGATATACTAAGAAAAGGCCAAGTCCTTGGCGTGGCTGGAGAATTAGATACTCCTAAGAGGGGCCTCTCATGAGACTAGGCTGGTAGGTCATCTGGGTCAGAGAGTGAAGAGCCGGCGTGCCATGCTAAGAAATACGAAATGTAGTCTAAAGTCACTGGGGAGCCACTGGGGAGAAGGGAAATTAAGGCAGTGGATATGAAGATGTGAAAAGAGATTCAAGAGTTATGAGAGTGTAGACTTGGCAGAACTTAATGACCATTTGAATGTGGTGGTAAATGAGTGGTAAGGGTCAAATGTGACTCCTCAATGTGGGGAGGAGAGCTGAAAATTATATTTAGATAAGTTCCATTTTGATTCTTTGTTATTTGTTTCACATTGATTCTTATATTTTGAGTGCTCAGGACCTTAGGGAACAGAGTGATTTTAGAAGTCAAGAAACAAGGTCTTAGTGTTGGAAAATGGCTCACAAGTGAAGATACCATGGTCCCACAGGGAAGAAGGAAAAGAGTCATCAAAGTCATTGCTCACCAATCATTTATTGGGTATTTTAATACAATTTCATAGTCTGCACATAGATTTTCTTATGAAAGGTTTTCAGGCCTTGGCAGCTATGGACTTGACAATAATTTCGGTCCCTTGGAATCTGCAAACATAAGACATATGCTTTCTCTCTATTTTATATGATCTGAAACTAGACAGGCATTGAGTTGGATTGGGTCTAGTCAGCTCAGTGGACAGTCCTTCTGGTGAGAGGTAGATGCCTGGGCATGGGGGGGTGTTGTTGACATCAGAGGCCCTCTGTGGTCCCTGGCTCTCCTACTAGCCTCTCACTATGTTTCATTCTAGTCCATGAAGCTTGCAATTCCTGATATTTTATCCACAGGCACCAAAGCTCACCAAAGCCCAGGTTTCTTCTCCTCAATTGTAATGTAAATCTTCAGAATGTCTTTCCTGTTTCTGAACTTTAGGGAGAAGTGTTCTACCCTTCAGTGATCCGTGCAGGTGGAACTAGGAAATGATTTAACTTCCCAAATTGATTAACATTAAGATATGATTATTTCACCCAATTTACCACTTAGATTTCACCCAACCAAAAAACATTAGAGTTGCTGCTGACAGAACTGAAAAGCACTAAAGTGAATGCTAGTCCTCAAAAACATCCTTGCAGGTAGAAAGAGTAGAGGATAGAGGGAAGACATACATTTTCAACCTCTTAAATAGAAGTAAAGATGAACTTGACACATAGGTTTCTTGCTTTGGCATTGTTGCTTTTGCTCTGGTGCTCACATAGCCTAGTACTGCTGCGATTTCTGCTGTTGCACATAGTCGTAGAGGGGAGTAATAGCTGCTTTGGTAGGGTGATCTCCACCTTGTTCTCTTCTTTGAGGCCTCCCACCACTCTGGGTTGGATGGAAGGCTGGCTCCCTTTGTCTTCCCCATGAGCCTCGGCTCTGGTCATCCTCATTCATGCAGAATTTTTCTCTGTTAGGACAGCCTCGCTGGGTGCCTTGGGGTTGTTGATCCTGGGACCCGTGATACTTCTCTTTCTCCTTGTAGTTCTGCCTATCCCATTGTTGCTGACGGTTTTGATCCTCTTCCCGGGTTTGCCTGTCTCGCCTCTGATGGTTCTGCTCATCTTCGTGGGTTTGCCTGTCTCGCCTCTGATGGTTCTGCTCGTCTTGTGGCTTTGCCTGTCCTGTGTCTCCCATGGACTTTCCAGCCCCCCACGGCTGTGTCTGCTCCAGCTTTGACGACTCTGCTCTTCCTCTGCCCCGTGGCTCTGCCTCTCGCTCTGGCTCTGCCTGGTCTGGGCCTGTCTGTGGCCCTGCTCACTACTGCATGATTGCCCAGCTCTCTCTTTGTGACAGAGTGGTTTTTCTTGCTGGATTAGTGCTAAGAGCTTGTGTTGGTGGTGCTGGCTATCCTCCTCAGGTTCCCATACCTGGTGGCTGTTCCTAGACTGGAATCCCTGTCCCTGGTTTTGGTATACTTCCTGTCTTGAAGTCTGTTGACTTAGTCTCCCTGATCTTCCTGATTGTTCAACATATGAGTCCCTTCTTGTCCCCTCAGTCCCTTGGGAATACCTATTTTGCCTTTGTATTTCTATTTCCCCAGTCTGTGACTGACCATAGTGGGAACTCTGGCCTTGTCTGTCTGTCTGACCATAGTAAGAACTCTGACCTTGTCTGTCTGTCTGACCATAGTGAGAACTCTGGCCTTGTCTGTCTGTCTGACCATATCGACAGCTCAGGTCTTGTCTGTCTGTCTGACCATAGTAAGAACCCTGACCTTGTCTATCTGTCTGACCATAGTGAGAACTCTGGCCTTGTCTGTCCGTCTGACCATATTGATAGCTCAGGCCTTGTCTGTCTGTCTGACCATATTGACAGCTCTGGCCTTGTCTATCTGTCTGACCATATTGACAACTTAGGCCTTGTCTGTCTGTTGGACCATATTGAGAGCTCTGGCCTTGTCTGTCTGTCTGACCATAGTGAAAACTCTGGCCTTGTCTGTCTGTCTGACCACAGTGAGAGCTCAGGCCTTGTCTGTCTGTATGATCATATTGAGAACTCTGGTCTTGTCTGTCTGTCTGACCATATCGACAACTCTGGCCTTGTCTGTCTGTCTGACCATATTGACAGCTCAGGCCTTGTCTGTCTGTCTGACCATATTGAGAACTCTGGCCTTGTCTGTCTGTCTGACCATATTGACAACTCAGGCCTTGTCTGTCTGTCTGATCATAGTGAGAACTCTGACCTTGTCTGTCTGTCTGGCCATAGTGTGAACCCAGTCCTTGCCCTTCTCTCTGGCCACAGCCTGATTCCTGACCCATCCTTCCAGACCATCCATAATAAGAACCTGATTCCTGTTGGTTTGTCTGGCTAGAGTAAGAGTCTTGTCCAAGTCTTCCAGATTGGCCATAGCTTGATTGTTGCCCAAGCCTTTCAGACTGACCATAATGAAAATCCTGAACTGGTTTCTCATACTGATTTAAGGCAAAGATATATTCTTGCCTTTTAGGATGGCCACTGTTAGATTTATGACTCAGTCTTTTATCAGAGCTGGAGTTTTGACCTTGTCTCTCTGATTGATCAAAGATAGAATCCTCATCTTGTCTCTCAGACTGATCATAGCAGGAATCCTGACCCTGTCTCTCAGACTGACCATAGCGGGACTCCTGACCCTGTCTCTCAGACTGACCACAGCGGGACTCCTGACCCTGTCTCTCAGACTGACCACGGCGGGAGTCCTGACCCTGTCTCTCAGACTGACCATAGTGGGACTCCTGACCCTGTCTCTCAGACTGACTGTAGTGGGAGTCCTGACCCTGTCTCTCAGACTGACCATGGTGGGAGTCCTGACCCTGTCTCTCAGACTGACTGTAGTGGGAGTCCTGCCTTTCTTCCTCATGCCTCTGCCTGTGTTGCCTGCCTGTGTTTCCTGGAAACTTATGATCTTGTGTTCCTTCCTGTTCCCTTTCTCGCCGGGAGGTTCTATCTCCACATGGTTTATTACCTAGCTTATGATGGCAGGCTTGGACCAATTGGAACACCAACAAGAGATACTCATGAAAATCAACATGTCCGTTTCTGTCTCTGTCTAAAAGGTTCATGATGGTTTCCACAGACTCTGGGTCATTTGGTCTCTGTGAGAAGATAAAACAAAGAGCAAAATCAGATGTTGTCCTGTGGATACTAAGACGTGTATCAGTCCATTCACTCCTGCATGGGCCTTCCTTAGCTGAGAAACCATTAATCTGGAATGGCTTGGGCTTGATTCTAGTCTTTGATCAACTTGTTCTCAGCATCCCATCCCTTGCTGGACCACTGGGCACATGACCACAGGGAGTAGATACACAAATTTAAAATAAGCTCCATTAATAATTAATTTGAGTCATTTGAGAAAGTTATCTATCTCATCACAGGCTATATTCTCATTGTTTGCCTGCTTTTTTCTCACCTGTGTGTGTCCCCATTGCCTAGATGGTACTGGTATGGAGTAAGTGCTCAATGACTCTTTATTGACTGATTGATTGAATGAATGAATAATGAGAATATGTGGACAGCACTAAAATATAGAAATCCAGATAAGAATCTATAGTTTTCTTCTGAGAAATTATTTCCTGTTACTTTGAAGTTGTACTCCATCCTTTTCAAACTCAGATACAAGAAGGGGTGTGTGTGTGTGTGTGTGTGTGTGTGTGTGTGCGCGCGCGTGTGTGTGTATATGTGTGTATGCTGGGAGAGAACTACTAAGGAACTGCCTGAAATTCTTTTTGTTACAGGGTGAAGCATGACTAAATAAAACAAAACACCAAGCTCTGGATGCTGGTGTCAGAATCATTCACACTTGACCCCATGGGGCCAAGTGTCTATGTATCTTACCCGGAGGATGTCTCCAAACTCAGCCAAGAGCAGCTGTTTCAACTCCTCCTTGCTAAGTGAGGCACAGTCCCCATTCTCTTTGGCGTATTTTTGGAACACCTCGATAACATTGAGTATGCTGTTCAGGAGTTGAGGCATTTTGGCAAATACAGGTGAGCCTAAAAGAAGAAACAAGACTTTATCTGTGTTTAGGATAAAGACTGGGACACAGTGTCTCCAGAGGAAAAGTGGCCCCTGTTAGTCTGGAAAAGAAGCTTAAGAAGCAAGCATCTCAGGCCTTTCTTAGCTGTACCCCACCCTTGCCTTGACTCAGAGTCAGGCTCCAAATACCAAGTGTTACAGTGGAAGATGGGTACAAACTGCGTTTCTTCTGCTAGAAAAAGAGGCAATTTCCTAAAAAACAAAAAAATGTATGATAGGCATTTTATATATCCCATCCTCTACTCCAGGTGGGACTTGCTTGATTGAAACTCTCAGAATAAAAAATAAGGGAGGTCAGGAAGCCCATTGAGGCAGGGCTAGAAGCCAGCATAATAGGGCATAATTTTCCACTAACAACTAGCATGCTGGAAGAGGCATTAAATAGATCTTACTGAACAGGTTTCAGTCCTCTAATGAGGATCCTCAAGTAAGGAAGAATGCTTTCTGGGAGGCTAAATCCCAACAAGTGCTTCTGGCTGGATGGTCATTTTGGGATATGCTTATCAAATCAAAACAATGAATACAAAAACTCTTGAAGACAAAAATAGCAAGTGAATACACAGCAAAATTAACTGTACAGATGATAGGAAGTATATATTATCAGTTAGGTCCACAGTGGCCATGCTGGAGGCTTGGGTGTTTTGGGATCTGGATCTCTATATTTTTTATCATAGTCTGAAAACGCTAGTTATTGGATTTATAGGCCTCCAAACCAAAGCCCTAACTGCAGAGAAAATTGGACTACTAAAAGCATACAATGATGTCTATAAAGATAAATAGCAAATAATGGATTGCCTAGAACAAGGTGAATCCCTTGTGGCAATTCATTACAATGAGACTTGAGCATTTCTGGGCCCCATGGTCCAGGGCCTTGGCTCTGATGAGCTCTAAACTCTTGGGTCTTGCCTAACTTTTACAAAAAGCAAATGCCCCTCTATGGGAGACAAAGCTATTCACCAATAGTCCTAGCCCTCAGTTTTGTAATACACAGGACACATTGAGGCAATGGCAAGTGCATTTTACAGGCACAGCAGTAGGCCACCCCAGCTATCATTATATTCTCAGATAAAGCCAGGAAAAGGAGGTGGGAAGGTACCCAAGGCTGTCACCCATAGGGAGAAGTCTCAGTTCTCCCCAGCCCAGCACATTACAGCTGCTCTCAAGAGCCTCACAAATACCGCCATTTCTCCCCCTTGCATGTCTTACCTTCTTGAGGAGGATGCGTTGAAGATTTGGAAGACAGAGAGGATACTGGAGACCTGAAAACCCATCCTATTTATAGGGGGTTTAATTGTCCTACTAGGCCATTCCAGGAGACACCCATTCTGTGGCAGAGCCTGAATCACTCGGGGCCCAGCCCAGCACAGCCCAACTCAGCCCAGCTCAGCCTTGCTTGACCTCTCCCTCTGCAAACCGTTTGGTTGATTTACTTCCCCCATTTGCTCATGAACCTGTTTGTCATTAGAGTAGGTGACACTGTTCAAGTCCCAGCCCCATTTAATTAAGGAAGTTTGTGTGTGTCTATGTGTACATGCTTTAGGGGTCCCAAAAGACAGAAGTGTTGACCAGGGTCATCCTTAATATATGTCACTTGCCAATACTAATAGAGGGCAACAGTCAACTCATACTGAAGAAGGATATCTGTATGGTCACATTACAAAAAAATCTATCAATCAAAGTTGGGAATAGAAAGTCTATGTATTTGGCCAGAATAAAGTTCCTGGAAGAGATTTTTGTCTTAGCCTAATCTCTTGCTTATGTAGGTAGATATTTGTATATTAATCTATTGACCTATTTTGAATTGCTATCATTATTATTTTTTTAATTTAGCAGCTCCATGAACTAGTGGGAGAAGTATATACATGACCAGTTTTGGGAGTGTGGGGGTGATTATGGTGGAACTCCCACCACTTGAGTCTTTTAAGTCTTACTAAAAAGTTGGAGTTGAGGGACAACGTGGAAGTTTGTGATATCTGTGAGACAGAGGTGCTATCAGAGACCTGGTCCTCCATTTATTTCCCATCTCTATATCTGTGACCTGCCAGCACAATGTCTTAAGCATCGGAGATTCTTAGGAAATGTTTTTGGGATAAATGAATTATTAGATTATGGAAGCATGGGAGAATCTGTGTAAAGTGCAAAAAAATTGTAGACTCACCTATATTTCTACTTTTTGTCTCACATCGAGATCCTTGCTTGGACCTTTTCCTATATATTTATCTACCAATCAGTTATTAGTAATAATACTTGTTATTATATACTATGTGTTCAGGATTCTGTAAGGGGATCATGAAAATATAGAAATAGTTCAGTTCGAATAAAGAAGCTTCACATAGAAAAAGATTTTGAACACCAAGGGTAGGACATGTTAAGTGCTGAGTTTTAGAAAACCTAGGTGCATGTGGAGCCCTCATGAGCTGGGCCTGCGATTCCCTTAGGAGGTGAGACTTGTGTTGTTCCTCAAAGGATTCAGGTGGGCAGAGAAGAAAGCCAAGAAATTTTGAGTGGGGAGAAGGGAAGGATCAAAGGTACTAAAGTGAAAATTTATATGTTGTGTTTGTATTAGAGTGAGCTGGTAAGTCTGGCTGGAGCAGAGAGCATATAGAAAAATAATCTGAGAAAACTTTGGAACTGGAAAATTTTGAAAGGGAAATCTAGTCTTAGTCTTTTAATATCACAGATGAAGAAACTGAGATTCATCTTGATTGAGTGACTTGCCACAGGTTGCGCAGGGCTATGACCAAAGCCAGACCTAGCATACTTGCTTCCTTTCCCTGGACCAATATGGTTTATTATATTAATATATTCTCTGAGGCAGATCTGGGGACTACTTTAGGGTTTATTTCAATGAGAAATGGGAAGCAGGGACCATTTTGGTCAGGAAAATGACATGATCAAAGCATTGTTTGGAGGAAGGTTTTAATCAGACTGCAGTAGGTGGTCAGCCATCTCAGTTTGTCTAGGACTAAGGGATTTCCCAGGACATGAGCCTCTCAGTGCTAATCTGGGATAGTTCTGGGCAACCTGGGACAAGATAATCACTCTAGACTATAGTGGGTGGGATGAATTGGAAAGAGAAATATCTGAGCAGGGAGACCAGTTAGGAGTCTATTGTATGGCCCGAGAGAAGTAACAAGGGGTTTGACCTGGATGCAGCAGTACAAAACTATTGGCAGAGAGATGGATAATAGCAGTAAAGAAAGGATGAGGTTTTGGGAGAGATTAGATAACAAGCAGGGAATGTGGGAACGTCAGGAGAGACTCCAAGTCTTTAAGTGTAGATAACTAAAAGAACTATAGTATACTGAAGAAATGTAACTTCTGAAAGAGGACTGATGGGGTCTAAGATTCAGTGCCCCTACTGGCATTTCACAGGGTCTCTGCCTTTCGTAGTCGTATTATCCTCCCTCTAGCTTGCATTCTTGCCTGTTTGGGGTCTCCCAGCACTGGTCAGGACTTAAATTAAGTCTATTTATAAATCCTGAGGGCTGGGCCACACTAAGATTCTCTTTTTGCTTTTGCATCTCTCCTTAGTGCTCTTCAATTATGTCTCTTCTCATCTGTTAGAATCGAAGACCTAGAGTAAGTTTGGTTGACCCTAGAGGCAAATAAGGGGGCTGGAGGTGGGATGGGTAGGGGGTAAAGACAACAGCCATCCTGACAGAGAACAGTAACACTGTGGCCCCTTGCTGTTGGCACGTTCCAGGGCTCCCTAGCAACTGTTTTGTTTGGTTAGATGCTGCAGTGGAGGGAAAAATTATGTTCTTAACAGTAGGATCTGCTACGTATGTGTTCATGTAACACTTACTAAGTTCCTATAGATTGGGCAGAGAACTATGTTGATTAACCAATCTGTTCATCAGTAGGCATTTGTGAGCACACAGAGAGCCCTTCTGCAGACAGTGAGATAAAAGCTAGTCTCTTGTCCTTAAAGAACTTTCATTCTCACTGGGTTACATGGGATCCTTAAATTGTTTCACAAGTATTATTGTCATTGACAGAGCAGAGAAAGGTTGATAAGCAGGAAGAAGGGGAGGCTGCAGGGGCTAGATATAAGACATTTTTAAGGAATAATGGAATCTGCTGGGTCATTTTGGGCAGAGCACTTAACATTCTGGCCTTGAGTTTATCTGCAAAAAGAGAGTATTGGAGCTTTCTTTTGGCATTGACATTCTAAGATTATGTCATTTCAATCTTTGGGTCAGCAGTGGCTTTAGAGATAATATTTTAACTTTGCTCTATTCACAAATTTGATAAAGGGATCAGAACTTTATGCTTCCCAATCTTCCTCTATGGAAAATGAGGAAGGCAATTATGGGTATTATTTTACTTCATTGGCATTTGTAAATTGCATCTGTAAATTGCACACTATTTTTGTTCATTATTTTTCAATGTGTTTTGCTGTTTTTAATGCAGTTATATTGGTTGTGTGACATACATGTTGGTCTCAAAGGCAATGTGTTTTTAAGCTACAATTTATTGAGGTCTTATTGTGTGCTATATGTTAAGCGTTTGATACATGTTATCTTGTTTAATTCCCATAACAACCCCATGAGCTAAGGAATGTTCTTCATTTTTCAAACAAGGAAACTTAGGCTCAGAGAAGGGTAAATAGCTTGCTTAAGGTCACGCAGCATGCAACTGGCTGAGCTGAGGTTCAAATCCATGCCTTTCTGATTGTAAAGCCATTGTTTGCAACCCCTGTTATACTTCCTCTTTTGGACTAGGACTGGTGATTGCCCACTGCCCAGTGAGAGAGATAGCTTTCCACATAGACTGAATTGAGTAACACCAAAGTAACTTCCTTATGACATACTATGAAGGAATCCAACCTTGAGATAAGAATCTCCTGACCACTTAACCAGTTAAATATTTATTATTTTCCTATGCTTCTCCAGAACCCAAATGGTTCCAGCACTGAAGGAGCTCATAATCTCTGTCTTCAGAGATATGACAATTGCTTATACTTAGAAAAAACAAGACCTAGATAGAAAAAATACCCTTTTGTCTTTACAATCGACAGCTCTGGGAATTGGTTTGGGATGAGCTTGGAGAAATTCTACTTGTTGTCCATTCCCTGCAGTTGTGACGCTATTGCAAATCTCTTCTGTCAATTTCCCTTGGAATGCAGATGTGCCTAATGGGTGTGACAGGTACTATTTTGAGTTAATGGAGTTTTCAGGGAGTCTCCTTGTCATATTTTGGCCAAATCATTAAGGATAATTATCA